GGGGGAGGAGAACAGTTTGATCTTAAAATATAATTTGGACTGTTCTCATCTTTTCTCATAAAGGCTGTTTTGATCATTTGTTGCCACCTCCCAGTTTTCAAACATCTCAGGTCTCTCAAAAGGTTCTGATACTTTTAAAGATAAGGATCAAATTTTATGTATTTTTGTCTCATAGTTCTCATGCCTTTGACATTCAGGTTTGCAAACTTCTTCCCCTATCAAAGGGCTTTAACGTGTTTCCTTTTTTTATTTTTAAATGAAAATTGACATTCTCATTTGATAATGTGACTAGGAGCCAAGACTTTAAGAAAAATGCCAAATACCACAATACCTATGGGAATTTGCAACCTTATTACTTATAATGGGTGCCTCTCAGTTCTCTTCAAGTCTCCTGAGATTTTGATGTTTCATCTAAATTCACCCGGATTCTTGTGATCTTTAAAGGTGGGAAGACAGTGGAAAAGTACTTCCTTGGTAGAAGAAGTGATTACAAACTGATCCAGTTTCCATTTTGAACTTCTTTAAACATCAAATATCTTCAGGTCTAAGGTTAGGTTGCCTGCAATCTTGGTTTTTTCCCCCGCTCCTTTTTGCTTTGCTGGTAGAATAAAGAATTTGATTTAAGGTTATATGCCTGGAAAAATAAAGCATTTAATTTACATTTTACAAGGCAGTTATTGCAGGTTAATTAAATATCAATTGAGTGTTATACGCCATATTAAGATTTATTAATAACCCAGCAGATAAATCTCCTTGGAATTCAATTAAATGAAAATCGCATAAAAATATATGTGCAATTTTATTCATATAATACATAAAACTTGTGAATTATAGTGCAGCATTGTACAGTAAGTTGATTAATGGGAATTAATTGCTGAAATAGAGAAAAATCCATTTACACTTCCTGTAGCAGACATAAGAAACATGGTATACTTCTGCCATACCCTTGGAAGGGCCGAGTGGGCGTCTGCACTTACGCCGTCGCACTCCACTCCACTCGTGTCTTGTGTCACAGGCAAGTTCTCTGTCTGTAAGGGAAAGGCTCGCGAGTGTACTGAGGGGTTTGGGAGCGCTTGTACCAAAGGATATTGGAGACTTGATGCTTTTCGAATCTCTCTTTCGGCATTTTTCAGCGTGGTTAGCAACACTGCGAACCAGGTTGTCTGCAAAGTCGTAAGCGCATGGGTGTGTTGGGCTTTCACCAGGATTAGCGAGTGGATCCAGGCCCATTTGGGGAAGCAAAGCTTCCGACACCGGGATGAGGTTCAGGAGCTGGACTTAGAAAATGTCTTTCTGAAATTTGCAGAACGACTGGGGCCTGGCGTGCGGCCATCTGTTCCCTGCGCATCCTGTGTTAAATACTGTCAATATGAGATTATGTTCCAATTACAGTACCAGACTGACTGGTTTAACTCCTACCATGAATCTATTTTCCTTCATTACTATGTACTAACTGTGTGACTGATGTAGCAGACACCAAAAGAGATGGTCTCTGCCCAGAGGGCTTTGTCTAAGAGAAACATGCCGGGAGAAGACAGAACGCAACAGAAAATGCAGATGGATGAGTAACTCGTTGAGATTTTCTTTTTAATTTGGGGATTCTTTGCTTGCTTGTGCGTTTGGCTTGAGTTTTAGTATTACTAAACTTGCTTCCTTCAGACATTGCACAAGAACAGAGACTTCCGTAGAAACTCAAACAGGGTTAGGCATGTGGCTCTTTGAAGTGTGTGTTGGGGGGGGGAGGCAATGCTCAGTGCACACATGGGAACATTAGAGGGTGGGAAACGAAGGGAGACCCACGTTCCAGCTCAGACAACAGCTCCAGCAGATGCCATGGCTTGTGCTGGGGAAGCTCAGCCACGTTTAAAATACAGCAGGTGGTGTCCTGTCAATGCCCTCCTTGCTCATCCTCCCTGCTCCTCTGGTAGAGAGTGCATGCATCTGTCTCCTCGCTGCTTCTCCCTGCAATAGTTGTCAGGGATATTAGCATTAAATACTTACTGCCTGGCTTAACTAAGGGGTAAGATAGGATTTAATTTGTATGGCTGAAATCCAATTATATAATGGAGCCCCTGGGGGAAGCAGTTATACCTGCTGAATCTCTTGGATGAGTAATTGTGCACAAAGGCTCCTCTCCAGAAGTAGAAACAGATCCGAAATTTCTTTTTTCTCCCCTTTTTTTTTTTTTTTTTTTTGCTGCCGCTGTTACATAATAGGGCTGAGACCCTGAAAAGAAAAGCCAATGACAACCCAGTGCAGTAGAAAGAATTAAAGCATTGCCAGGAGAAAACAAGTTATAATCTGATAAAATCGGGGATCTAACAGGAAGTCTGCAGCAGCATTAGCTTCGAGGAGCCAAAATGCAGGGCAGCCAAAGGAAGCTTACTCATCTTTTTGGAAAACAGCACAGAGGCTTTGCTGTCTAACTTTTTCCCCCACTTCTACCATGAGTGGGGAAAGGGAATCCTCCACTTTGTCAAAGCTCAGGAGGTGGGTAGGTATATAAGAAGCTCAGCAGCCAACTAATTCAGATCCTTTTGAAAAATCTTCTGCTTAACTACCTTTAAAAATCCCTGTTCCTTATCCTGCGTGTTATCTGCAGCCTGATAAGCATCAAAAGCAGAGGTGATGATGAACAAGACAGGAAGAAAAGCATGGTGAGGTTCCCAGGAAGGTTTCCGAAAGCAGGCAAGCTTATGTTAGCCTTGCTCTCTGGGATAGCCCTGGGCCTTTGACAACTGCCCCATCTGATACCTTCAGCAGCTCCAAATCCCACCAAGGAATATACCAGGGGCTCTGAACAGGACTGAAAGCATCAGCTCTTTGAGAAAACTTCCCTAAGGTCAGAGTGCGCTATTTAATTCTATTTTTTAAAGCAGACAGCAAGCTTTTATTCTTTTCTAATGAATTCTGAGTGAAAAAAAAATAGTTTCCTCAGTCTCTTTGATTACATGACCTCGTGTAACGATGCTGACTGCATCCAGCCAACCGAGGGAAGGCCAAATCTCCAAATGCCACAGACTGAGGCCAAACCCAGATGGTCAGATACCCCTACCCCATCCATCAGCCTCGCTGTCTGGGCAGGTCTTCCATCCTTTGGAGCCCCAGGTAAAGCCGAAGCCAGGCAGCAGTTGCAGGCACGGGCAGGGTACCTGTCTCGCAGACTTGCAGCTCCACCCAGTGGCTCTTTTTTTGGCAAAAGAAAACCAAAGTTTCAAAAACACTAAAACTGTTGATGTCAACATTGATATGCTGTGGCCATGCCCTGGAAATGTGCATAAGAAATTGGGTGTATAACTCTTTCTCAAATTCTTAGCAAGCTGTCATCTACCGTTTGAATAATGGCAAAAAAATTGCAAAGAGAATTTTTAGTGAAATAGAAAAACCAGCAATCCTGTTACTCCCTTTTCTTAAAAACCTCCCAGCACAAATGGTAGGAGAAAAATTAAGGAACTGATAACTTACACACTCCACCTTCCCACATTCTCTATGAGCAGATTGCAGTATTTTTCCCCAAATTTGTTATATGAAATTATTAATGAGTTACCAGAGGAAATAAATTTTGATTTATGAGCTCATTTTGCAAAGAATTCTCTAGTGAGTGTACATTTTGGTGAACGTATTGCTTCGCCTTCCTTCCTTCCTAACTACTGTGACACACAAGAAGTGAATCTTGACTGTTTCTGTCAAGGATGCCATGCTGAATTTTGCTTTTTCCAGGAGGATTAGGGCACCTGTAATTAAAATAAGCTTTTATTTGTGCGTGTGTACACTGTTACTGTAGGAACATTCAGAGGATGGGCACATAATCACAGAACACAGAAGCATGATATCAACAGAATTAATTTTAGATTTGAACCAGTACTGTAAAAATATCCCATTCCTCCAAGCTCAAGTGAAAACAGAAATCTCTATTATGCTTAATGTAGGTTTACCAATGCCTTAAAAATAAAGGAGCTGATAAGCTGTTACAAACCACAGTTTTTATAGTGAATCTTCTGGTACTGCCTGCCCCACCTGTGTTAGGAAAATATCATCTGTGAAATACAGCTCCCGGATGGACTGTGTAGCTCCAGTGCCATGGGATGAGTTGGAATGACCTCTTCCTCCTGAAGTTCAGACGTCATTTAGCATAAATGCAGCCCCTAAGGCGTTCACTGAAGTTGCTGTCTGCCAGCGTGGCAGTTGACCGTGGGCTTTAGTTTGTTTGGCTTTGCTGCTAGAGTTCTGAGAGGTAGGAGAATTTGAGTTGCAAACTGTATGAATCCCACCTCTAAGCTTGTAGATAACAGTTATCCATCCATACGATTAAAGTAAGTCATCGTTAGCACAAGAGATTGGAAGGTCTTTACAGGGGTATTTCAGGAGAGCTATAATATTCCATATTAAGAATAACAGGAAGCATCTTGAAAAAGGTAGCTCCAGAAAAGGGAATAATTTTTACCCTTATTAAACCCTGAAACAGAGCAAGAACTCATTGGGCTTTCCTTGTCTTCCTCAAATTATCACTGAAGACCCCTGGAGTGTATGAGCCGGGTAGAGCCATCCCACCAGCTGCCCAAGACCATGGCGAAGGAGGGGTCCGTTTGCTGAGTATGGAAAGAGATGGAGGCTTGCCAGGCTGTTGAACAAGACTGGTTAACTAATTTTATCAAAAAGGTGTTTACTGGTCACCATCTCTCATCTGAACCTGTCCCTCTTGTTCCCACGAGTGATCCCTTTGCAGTGGTGGCTCCGTGGGAATGAGTGAGGCCGGCAAGTCCTGCATCGGGCTGCAGGTACCTGCAAAGAGGGTGCTTTTAAACGCACGCGGTGTTTCATGTGACACCTAACATAGCTGCCTCACGGGCATGGCAAGGGTTTGCAGCCCAAGTCTTCTGCTCTTTACCTGTCCCCGGATTTCTCATTGTTTGCAAAGTTTCTGCCAAAAATCTGTGCATGTTGTGAAGTTCAGATGAAACTTGCTGGTGTGATAAGCTCTCTTACCCCAAATATGCCTCTTAGTTCTTCTTTTTATGAAGCTGGGAGGGTTCCTGGTTCCCTGCAGCTGCTTTTAACCACTCTGTAGTTCTGTGCTTGCTCTCATTCCAGGTGAAGAGGGGTTTGTACCCAAAATGCCTGGCGGCTTTGTCTGTCTCACAGGAGAAGGTGGTGACTATGGTGTTCACTAAAGGCACGCTTAGGAAAGGCGTTGGCTTCCGGAAAGGGTACAAGATGATCCTGATGATCCGGTGTACTTGGATCATTAACCATATCTTCCAGTAAGGGATGTGCGAGCCTAGCTTTATTGAGGGGTCCAGAGAGGCAAACAGCTGATGCCTTACCAGAAAAGGTTTTCTGGTTGGAGTGTCATCGTAGGAATAATACACCTGTCCCGCGAGTAAGTCTGGTTTCAGCTGCAAGTTCCTTGCTGCAAGAACATGCATCCATGCAACGTTCCCTGGGGAAGTAAGAGGGGGAGAGAAACAGGCATTCAGGAGGCGCTTAATTTTCCTGTTTACTGTAGAATGAGTACATTGGATCTGCCAGGTTCAGTGCTGTGAAGTAGGGAAACGACTCATCGTGTCACTCAGCTGTGCTGTAGAGAGACTGAGTAGTTAATCCAGACCTCCAAGATCCTTTAAACCTTTGGTCTCCCCTTTGAGCCGGACAATTAATGTGCCTTGTGATACTGGTTCATGTGAAGCGAAAGGGCAGTGTTTTGTAGAGAGAGCAGGATGAATGGGAGGCAGTGCTCGAGGGTTTTATTCCTGGCTCTGCTGAGAGCCTTTGAAGAAGTCACTTGATTTATCTAGGCCTGATTCTTCTCTAACAGCATTTTCAAACTACTGTTATCTGTACGGTTGGAAAAAGACATCCAAGTGACCCGCGCAGAAATAACTACAACCCCACATGATTTAATGGTGAGTTATACTCCCCTGAAATGCATTCAACACCACAACAAACTGTTTCTATAGGTTTTTGAGTAGTTTCTTGTGCTTAGTAAGATCAGTTCTGTAGTGCAGCCTTTTTTTCAAGGTATTGTACAAATAGTGTTAGTTCAATTTCTTCTAATGAAAAAGAAATTAAGAGTCTTTTCAAACCTAAAACATTTTAAAAACTGTCTGAATATAGCTCTTCCCTCAAATACATCCCTTGAAATGTTTACCTAGAAAAAGAGAGATGAGATCTCTCTCACTTTTTCCACTGAGGTTTTTTTGTTTGGGTTTTTTTTTTCCCCCCAGTCTTCTAAACAACATTTTCCCTGTGTTGAGGGGAAGAGAAAAAGGAAAACCATCCCCAGGAAAAAGAGTAGAATGTAAACAACTGTTTTAAAATTTCTTTTAGCCAGTCTAAGTTCTGTGGTTGCAGAAATATTTGTGCCCGTTCACCATACTCATCTCTTGGTCTTGGAAAGTTATCGTTAAGCTGAAGTGTAAAAATCCCCTGTAACTAAACCAGCCTGGTACCACCGCACGCAAAGAGATCAGTCGTTCACTCACCCACATACGTGCTATCGCGCTCTGTGTTCTCAGGCTCCAGGTAGTCCATCACACCGTTCTTGGCTTTGGCGAGCAAATACAACTCTTGAAGAAACATTGCTTTCTCCCCATACACTGCGTTTGGACGGATAACGCAGGTTGTGAGTCTACCACCATTGCTCAGCTGTAAAATCAGAAAGGGATGTTAGCAAGCAGTGGATTCAGAGATTAAATGTTCCACAGGGATGTTAGGTTTGCTGGATAAACCCAAAACCTGGGAATATTGGTCTAGAAGAGTCAACATTTGCAGAGGTGTACTGGACAATTAGGGTCTAGTTTGAGTCCCTAAAAATGCAAGGAAGTGTCCAGTTTGATACCCCCTCCCTGCCCCCATAGCACACCTGCACCCATGAGGTGCTCACGGAGAGGTGCTGGATGGAGGGTGCTGGTGGCATTAACCCTTCTGCAGCTGTGATGTATAAATGAGCATTTGCAACAACCAAAAGCAGGTACCAGAGGGCGGCAGCTAAGCTGGCTGGCCTCAAACTGTAACCAGGAGAGAGAGTTGCTCCAGGCAGTAATTTAGGACACAAATTTCTTTTTTACATTCTGCTTCATCCTCTAGAACTCATTTGTCTGCTGACCGTACTGGGAGTCTAAAAAGAGTAGCTTGATAACTTAAGGGGTTGACTCTGGGTACAGAGTTCTTAAATCACCCAGGCATGTCTGAAAATTACACCTTTATGCAGTATGAACCAGGTGAACCTGCTTTCTTAGGGTCTAATTAACACAGCTCTTCCCAAGTCACCCTTCTCTTGGTGGAGTTCAAGCCCAGGCTCAAAGGGCAGCACCCTGTGATCATGAGAGTGTTGGCAGCTTCCCGATGATGTGGGAATCAGGCTTTGGTAAGCTTAGGGCAATGTGGTTTGTGCATCAAGTCCAGGCAGCTGTTGGACACACACTTAGATATGAGCTGTGGGGTCTCTCCTTTCACCCATCTTGTGCTGTAATATCAGGGGTGCTAACATGGACCTTTGTACCTTTTTGCCGTTGGCTTCCAAAACAAGTTTTTCTGACATGGCCTTTGTCTTCCCATAAGGCAGCTCCACCTCCCCACTGTATTTGGTGTCCTCATTTCCTCTGAAATAGATTGTGTGAGACAGTTAGTGACCATGGAGTAGAGCACAGGGCTTGGGGACGTTTGTCACAGCACGCCTTACTCTGCAATCCCTGCTCTCCAAGGACTTACCACTGGCTATGAATAGGAGATCCTTGCTGCAGTTTGGGAGAAAAAAGGTCTCAAGAAATACGAGGCAGTTCTGGATGCTCAGAGGCAGCTTTGCATGAGGGTAGTGGTTTGGTTTCAGAGTGTTGGATTTGGTTTTGTCTAGTAGTGTGATTGAAGCAAGCAGCGTTCTGGCAGGCAGATGAGAAGGCAGCAGATTTGCCATATTAAGCTACTCACAAGATTGCTGAACGAGATGGAAAGAACACAAGAAGGTGGAGGGCAGGAAAATGAGAGCAATCCTGCTTCACTTTTTCATTAGAGGTGGAGAAGAGCCTCTCATGAGCTGTAAACTAAAATGAGAATCTGCTGCTTAATTTTCTCACAGAGTTGATTAGGGTTGGGAGATACTTGCCGGTGGCATGATAGAGCTGCTAGTGATCTCCTGGAAGACAGGCAATCAGCAGGTTTGTGCTGGGATTATTCCTCCATCTCCCCTAGAAAATTATGCTTGACGGGAAGAGCAAGGAAGTGGCCCCATGATTAAGGGCAAGCAGGGCTCACAGCCATGCTGGGGACAATTGGTTGTCACTATGGAAGTCAATTTGCCCCACAGCCCCCTAACTTAGAGCTTCAAAGAGGAAAGTCCATGGGTTCTAACATGCAACTAGCCTCACAGACCCTGAAATAATTCTAAGGAGGACCAACAAAGCAGCCCTGTTCCTCACAGGACACTGGGATTTTGTCCCAGTGGTTCTAGATCAACATTAGTCCATTGCGGGATTCAGTGGGCTCTGGAGGAGCTGGGGACTGAAGAAACCTTGTTTGAAGCATTTGGAAGGACCATCCATTAGTAGCATTTGGCCACTTGCTCCCCCTGCCACGGCCAGCATGGATAGGCTCTCTCTCCCTATGTGCTGTAGGAGACTGTCTTCACATTTTTAAATTGATTTACTCTATATTTTGTGCTCCTAGCAAAATTCACCCTAGGCGAACGTCAGACTGCCAGGCACGGCGTACCCCCGCACAGGGCAATGAAGAATTGTCATGCTCCTGTTGCAGATGGGGCTTGGATGCACCTCTTGGAAGGGTCGAGTGGCCTGTGACGAGTTCACGCAGCAGAGCTCTTTTGGTCAAACACTGGGCCTCGGGAGAGCAAGCTGTGACTCAGGCTCCCTGTTTGACCCTGGGCAACTTGCTTGCTCCTTTCTGTGCTCAGACCTCCACGTGCAAAGTGTGGATAATGCTGTCGCCTTTCTCTTGCCTGTTTAGCAGTCTAGTACCTTGTGTGTCAGATACCCCAGCTGAGATCTGGGCCTTCTTGTGCTATGGCAACAGAAATAAATCAGAAGCATCAGAAATGCAGCCTTCTTGCACACCCTGGGCTTTCATCCCAACCCCCCTGCCCTTCCCTGTGTTTATGGGTGATGAGCAAGAGACAACTCAGAAAACAAGCAAGACAAAAGATAGACTGTGCATGGCTTGTTGCAAGCCTGGGAGAGGCCCAAGACAATTAGGGGGGTTATCTAGAAGTTCTAGTTTTTAATGGCTTTCTTTTTTTTAATCCATTTTTTGGTTTTATGGGGGCTTTTCTGGGTGGGTGTGGGTGTTGGTTTTTTTTTTTTTTTCCTTTCCGTTGTGAAGGTTTTAAAAGGCAGCAGCTTCACAAAAGGGCAAACCTGCCTGCTGTTCCTGGGCTGCAGAGCTCTGCTCGTGTTTGCCTTCCCCCACCCCCTTTTGAAGCCTGGTACTAACAAAGAGCTCAGCATAATGCTTTTGCTTTTCAAAACGATCACAGATAAGCGAACGCTAATAAGACTGGAGCAGCATTGTCAGAAGGTATCTCAGTGGTGGCTGTCTCAGGGGGATTGAGACTGACAGAGGCATTTTCTATTATTGTCGGATGCTGAGGTGTGAGCATTATCCCTGCACCCATCACCCTGTCCAGAGACTAATCATGCTTTGTCTGTGTCAATTCCTAAGCATGTAAAAGTGAGTTAAATAAAATTATACAAGGAATGATGGAGAAGGGGGACAGAGAGAAAGAAAAAGGCAGGCAGGCAGGATCATGGACTGTGAGGGAGAAGAGCAGAACTGATTGGGTGGGCACAGGGGAGATGAGGAAGGAGAAAGCCACATCACCTGTGCTTTCAGCCTGGAAAAGAGCCATGTCACGTTGCCTTCCAGTCATCACAGGGCTCCCTGTTGAGACAGGTGGTGTAATGTTTTTACTGGGGTTCTGACCCTTCCTCATTTTGCATTATGTAATTCCCGTGGTTTAAAATCCAAGACTTTGGAAAATGAGGACCACGCTCTCCCAGCATCACGGGACAACCTGAGTATGTTCTGCAAAATGAGTTAGAGGCTCTAGGTGGTGGGTTGGTTTGCATTTGTGGTGGGGAAGGATGTTCATGTGTATCTCCATGAGTGTCGGTCCGGATGGGTTTTTGCTTTCACCGTTGGTGCCATCATTACAAGCCAAAGGATTGTCCTCTCAGGCAAGATTTGGGGTAGATTTTTCAAGTCATCTATCCACATCTATCTCTTAAACCACAGGACTAAAATACTGACAAGGATGTTTCTGTACCTATGTTCATTTTCAGAAATTATTTAGATATGCTAATGACCGAACTCCATAGATTTTCAGTGACACAGAGCCTCTAGTGCTCGTGGTCCCAAGTGGATTGAGGTTTGTTGCTCTCATGGATTTTTTTCATAAGCCAGACATTTATTCTACAGATTGGGGTGCTCAAACACCTTTCAGAACTAAGTTATGCCATAACTTACTTGTGAGTATGAAATTTAGACTTGTAGGTCATTTTAAGTTTGGTCTTAAGCAGACTTTTCTAGCTGGGCTCCAATTTCTAGAGCCAAATGGCTGAAGCCAGCTGGGTCTAGACTGGCTGCCTATAGAGACAAAACTTGACTTTGAGCCAGTTCCCCGTGCACACAAGTTTCCACGGTTTGAGCAGTCTGTATGGCTACAACCATGCTTGAAATCAGCAAGAAGCCTTACGGTGGTACATATAAGACCACAGCTCTGTCTACTTAACTTCAAATGTAACCAAAAACTTCAGTGTCGGGTCTTCAGAAATAGCAGCCCTGTTCTCAAGGTGCAACTACTGTTGCCCCACAAATACGAAATAATCCAGATGCTGAGTCCTGAGCAGAAGTGTCAGCTGACTGTGAAAGTCACTTCTGGATATCAAAGCTTTATAAGAAAAAAAACCCTCTCCAAATCATAATTTTGACCACTGTCCTGGTATTGCTCCAAGTCGCACTTTGCCACAGCAGGTTTTCGAAAGCTCTGCTGCTTCTGGGTCTGTGGGCCAGTCTGAAAGGAGCCACATACAGAAAAGATGGGTTGAGCATAATGCTCAAAAGTATAAAGTCCAGGAGTTAGCCCTCGTAAGCATATTGGCAGAAAAAAGGATTTTGAGGGATAGAAGGGTCAGATCCAACGCTCCAACTCAACAGCAGGATACAGCTTGGCTGTATCACAAACCTACATATCTGAGACCTTATCTGAAACTGGGTTTAGGGATTAGAGGAGCAGGGCTATACAAGGGAGAGCCAGGACGTGCTGTTGGGTCATCCGTCTCTCAACCAACACACTCAATCAGTGACTGGTCAAGCTTAGGTTGGGAAGAAGTGTGGTTCCTGAGAGAGAAGAGCAGCAAAGAAGGATTTTCCAGAAAGAGAAGAGGAATAGACAGGAAGGGGAACACATATCTTCTCCTTTGTAGCCACAGCAAAAATCTCCATCTGGTTGCGGTTTCATTGCTGTTTAACTGGAAATCCAGAGTGATGGAGAGGATTTGCTTAGCCTTACCTGAACATGGGCTCATGCGACGTGTTGGGTCCCACCGCAGCAATGGAGCTTGTGTGGACAACATAGGGGACGTTCAAGGCACAGCAGGCCTTTAACATATTTTCAGTACCTGTGGGGCCAGTTGGGAAGGACAAACATTAAGCACCTTGCTTTGGTTCCTGTTATGGAAGTCAAAAAGATTTCCAGGCTTGGGATTCTGACTTGAAACAGATCCATCTTCTTTTTATGGCTGAAAAGGTGAAAGGCCACAGATCAAGTTCCCAAGATATGCACAGGCATGGATGACCCCACCTGGAGTACTGTATTTGGCTCTGGGGCTCCCGACATCAGAAGGACGTGGACCTGTTGGAGCGGGGTCTAGAGGAGGCCATGAGGATGCTCGGAGGGCTGGAGTTGATTCTGTGAGAACCTAAATGACTACTGAGGGCCTTCAAATCTGATAAGGCAGATCTTAAAGGAAACCGTTCATAGGGTTGTTTTCCGGAAACTCCATGCTATTTATACCTGGCTAATCAGGCTCTGCCCTGGAGCCTTGCTGCAGATCTTGCGTAGGAGGGCTTGCCATTTCCCTGTTCTCTTTGTTGTTCAGGCCATAATCTGAAATTATCACGGAAATTCTTATTATAGGCTAATTTCCGAGGGCATGAATCAATATGAAGACCTGGTGGAAAAGAATCAATTTACTTCTCCATGAGCCTATCACAATATGTAAAGTTAACCGAGAACCCCTGTTGAGAAACATCGCTGGAAACAGGCAAGTTAAAATCCATTCAGCTTAATAAAAAGCAGATTAAAAAGTCTTTAAGTGACTAGATGGAAAAAATAATTCTTGTAGAAGAGGGCTCTTCAATCTAGTCAACAAGACTATAACAGGATTCCGCAAACAGTGGTCAAAACAGAAGAAAGAATCAAAGCAGAAATGTAAATTTTTGCCAGAAATGGTAATTAACTATAGCCACACTAATACTCTTCAGCATTGTTATGGCTTGCTGAAAGACGTGATAGATAGCCCATTAACTTGCAGTCCTTAATTCTAGGCAAAAAGTCTTTTGAAGAGGCGTAGTCCAATTTAGCCACAAATTGTTGGGCTTAAGGCAGTAATTGGATGAATTGCTGTGGGCTGTTACAGAGGAGCCAGCTAGAGGATTATATAGTTGACCTCTCCTGACCTTATTGTTTTCCGTGAAGTCTGCAGCAGGTATCAAATACAGTCCATTTTTATTCTTTCACCTGCTATTATTTGAATAGAAAACTTCAGACTAATTGCTCAATTCAAAATTTTGAGGGCAGCAGCTTCCTTTTAGGGAGCACTACATGAAGCCATTCAAGGGAAGGCAGAAATGCAGAGCAGTTTGTCTCTGAAAATAAGGCTCCTCTTAAGACACCTCCAAGTGTGCTCTGCAAAGAGGCATTTGATCACCAGTCACACTGGACTTGGCTGGCATGGTTTTCTGGGAATGTCGCAAATATCCGCCAGAGGTTTGGCTTGCTGAATAGGGCAGTTGCCCAATCTTCACTGCTGCCTCTAAAAACCTGAAGTACCTTGCTCACAGCAAGCAGGCAATGAAGAGGAAGATCTCACAAAGCCATTAAAAGGCAGCGGGAACCCTCAGGCTCTGAATATTCTCAGTACACATACACAACACAGGCTCTTAAAAGCGTCTGGTTTTGAAAACAACCACAGCAATGAAAAGAAGGATGGAATTTAAGTTTTGCCCTTGAATGCATCAGCAAATAGTAGAAGCCCTAAGCAGTAATGGAGTTGGAGATCTATATAAATAAATTATATATAAAATTCCTTCCTCGTGGTTAACAACTATTTTAGTAGCTAACGGCCTGAGGTGCCATTGGAATTGCTGCCGTAATAGGGATTTCATTATTTTTATCGCCTATGCTTATATTCTAGATTTATGAACAAATTCTGTAAAGCAGATCTTGTACCTAATGTGAAATCGGTTCTTGGTGAGAGAACAAAATGCTGTGGAGCTCTCAGTTTTGTGGGGCTTGTAGACATGTAGTAGTTGTGAACTCTGACTGTAATTAATCATTCCCTTAATAGCATGGATGCAGTTCAGCTGGTATAGTCTTGTGCTGGTATGTAGTGTAGATTTTTTTGTCTCTGGGCATCCCTGTGAAAGCTTTAAGCTCCCTAGAACAGGAGTTAACTTTTAATTGCTGTCCTTGTCAGATAGGAAACAGTTTCCTACCACTATGGGTACGTTCTGAATCACCTCAGTACTGGTAGCAAAAGTTATACCCTTGACCAGAATAACTGAATAATAACTGGGTCCAGATTAGACTTCCTAGGATGAAGCAATAGGAGTGGAGAGGAGCAGCGTGACCTGCCCTGAGCAGGGACAGAAGGGCAAAGGTAGAAACCTCCCCACCAGAAGGGAAAGGTCACGGGCACCTTTCTCATCTCGAAGTAGGGTGGTGTGCGTGACATTCGGGGACAAGACATCAAAGAGGATATGTTTGTCGTAGCCTCTTGTATAACTACACCGAGGCTGAGAATTCAAGGCTGTATGTTTAAAGAGCTTACCCCCAACGTTGACAGATCTCATTTCCCAAAAGGGCACGGTGTTTTTTTCGTTCACAATAGCAGCTGTGTGAATAACCACGTGAACTCCCTGCATGGCAGTGAGGAGCAGATCGTAGTCTCGAACGTCTCCTTTCATCACTGTCACACGAGTGGTAGCTGGAGAAAAATAATGTAACTACAGTTGCAGGGGAAAAAAGGTACAAATCAGCATCCTCACCTTCTTGCAGGATCCTGCTCGGAACGCTTTCTTCTCTGCAGGGCAAGCTGAAGCACATGCTAGCGGCTACGCCGTTGGAATACATCACACCGGGGAAAATACATCCCTATTTTTGCACCCCAAGAAGCCAGATGCAGATCTGGTTTAATTCAGCACAGCACTTTGCCAGTTTGCACCAGCTGTGGGTCAGAATAACTGGGGCTGTCGTTGCGAATCTCTAGCCTGCATCCAGCCGTCGTGCTGAGCAAGATGGGGAGATGGCCCCGAGCAGTTGTGTCCGGGGCTGCTCCGGTATATGGGAATGAGTGAAGCTGTGCCGGACAATTTCCTTAAGACAGAACATTTTTAGGGCTTACTTGGAGTAACACTAGGTGAATTCAAGGGACATTGCACAGAGCTTTATCTAAATTGCAAACACTATAGATGGGAAGGGAAATGATGGAAGATGCTAAAAAGTTTAATAGGAAATTCCTCCCTTTGACCCATTCAGAATTTTTTTACTCTGTCTCCTTTCCCCCAGAGATGCTGTCCACACATGGCTGCTGTTGGCATCTACTACTCATTTTCTTGCTTTGAGACAATGTTGTGACATTTAAGTGGGATTTTTCTCCTTTTCAGTGGTGGGGAATAGGCTGGGAAGAAGCTGGGGTTAGGAGGCTGTACTCCTTGGGGCTTTGTAATAAGGCAGGCAGCAGTAGCAGTCGCAGGACTGCTTTGGGAAGGAGATGTCTCCTCTGCCCCGGGCTGGTGGCTTCCTGGAAGCCCCCATGCAGCTGGGGACCAGGGTAGCAACCCAGGGAAAGGTCTGTGACTCCGGCCGTGGAAGCATTATCATATGGAAACCCTCAGTGAACAACTACCAGGATAAGGGAATAAAAGAACCGGGTTTTTCCTCATGAACTCAAAGGAGAGACAGAAGTCAAGTTAGTAGGTCAGCTGGCCGAGGGCTGTGTCAGAAGCATGGGAGGTAGGAAGAGGGAGAAGTTTTACACAAGAGTCGAATGGATTTCTTAATTCTCAAAACCAAGATTTGGTGGACTAGCTCAGAGGAGTTTTAATATTAAAATAATTTAATATTAAAGCACAGAGTTGATTCAGCGAGCATGGAGCAGAAAAAGCAAGGGGACGTTGCCCCGTAGCAGGGGGGCACTTGCCTGGAAGACCAGAGCGCAGAGGAGGATGCTCCTGAGGGAGGTCTCTGCCAGTGCTGAAACGTGGAGCAGGGTGTCAGCACCCACCGGGTGGGGACTTTGCTGCTATTTAGCAGTGAGGGGAGGGCTGGGAGCAGCAGGGTTGAAGTGGTAAATAGTTTCTTTCGCATCACCTGTCTTAAGGCAGCTGGTGCAATTGAGACGGGAAGAGAATGAGGAGAGCTCAGCCAAATCCAGGGACGATACAAGGCAAGAGAAATTTTCAGATTGATGCAGCCGGCTGAGCTCTATCCATGGCTATGAAAGAGGTGATGGATGTTGCTGCAGCTTTAGTGCGTTATCAGCTACTTTGGAGAGCTTTTGGAGGAGGCACTGGAAGACTGCAGCAGTCTTCTTCCTCCTTCCTCTGTGCTTAGAAAGGAGGCAAAAAAGAGCCAGGAAATGACAGAACAGCTTGATTTCAACCTCAGGAAATTCAAGAACACACACAAAAAACATGTGTGTGAGCACCTGTGGCATAACAGAAGCAGCTGACATGGATTTGTCAAGAACAAATCAAGTCAGATAAATCTCCTTTGTTCTTATGACAAGTTAACAGGCTGCACGGATATTGGGGAACAGGTCGATGTCATCTATCTTGATTTTAGAAGGGCTTTGGAAACTCTGTGTCATGCTCAGAAGCAAGGGGGTAAAGCATGGCCTAAGCAAGACACGTCAGGGTGAGCACAAAGCTGGCTGGGTTGCAGTTCCCAGGGAATTGCCAGCTGTGGTAGGTGGCTGCCCTGGGGCTCTCCAGGGCTTGTTGCTGCAATTCAGTTTTTTTTTTTTTTTTTATTGTTTTCATCAAGAATCTGGCAGATTTGTTCATTGAATCAGCAGATAACATCAGACTGGGAGGGACTCAGAGTATGTTGGAGGGTTAGAGTACAAGCTGAATGTAACTAATGGACTTTGACCAAAAAAAAGTGGAATTTAATAGGGACAAAGGGAAGTTGCTGGCTTAGCAGAGAAGGGGGTCTTTGTGAGAGAATTAAACTGGGCCAGGACACCTCAGGAGCTATTGGCCCTCAGCAGAGTCTTGCAGCTGTGAAAAGGGTGTAACTGTGTGGTCAGGTACAAATCGGAGAACAGGTTGCAGGACAGAAGAAATAAATCCATCAGCTTTACTCAGCACCGGGAAGGCCACAGCTGGCCCTTCTCCTGACCTCGGTGCCCCTCTCCCAGGAGAGGGCAATGCCCAGAGACACCGCTAACGTGAGCTGCGGAGGAGAGTTGGTTTAGGTAAAGGAGGAAACAGCGTGGATTGGAAAGGGGAGGTGGTTTTCAGGCCACGTAGATTGTTGTAAAGAACGACAGTGTTAACCTAGTCTGCCCGTAAGGTTAGATGAGAAATCAAGGACTTAAATTGCGGATGAGATTCTTGTTGGATTACCAGCAGTAACAGTCTGACAGTGCAGAAACTGGCTGCCTGAGGTGACTTGGGGACAGGATAGAAAAACATAGGTGGGGAAGGTTGTGGCTGAGCTGATTCTGCCTTGGGGCAGGGGGATGGGGGTTGGGTTGGCCCCTCAAGGCTGCTTTCTGCCTCATTTCCCTGTGATTTGCTGTGGTGTTAGGCCACAGTCCTCTCCTGGAGTATGGATTATGGCAGCTCCTTAAAGTTTAAGCACTTTTTTATCTTCAGTTATGGGTGCTTTTAAGCCAATTTCAAGGCTACCTGAAACCTGGGGAAACCAGTCTGGTGAGTTCATCTGCTGATGGAGGATTTCTGGTGATATTTCCCTGGGAGTCTTTTAACTTGCCTTATGTGTATCCCCTATTTATTGGTATCTCCTACTAGCTAGGATCTCCCTTACAATTTTTTTCCTCTCTCGTTCAAAGCAGGCTGAAGGTTTGGGCAGTTAGAGGGAGTCCCAGCACACTATTAGTGCAGAGCACTGTGAGCTGCATTGGCTTGTCTGGGGTGGGTGCTCTCAAATCCAGTAAAACAAGTTGCTTTTGCCCAACATATCTCACTGTAATCAACCCTGGTGAAACATCCGAAGGCAGCTCTCAGAATATGATCAAATGGATTAATATAAGCATGTTTACTCAGGCTCGCCTCCTGCTTTATGCACAGCACAGTAAGGCTACTACAGGCTTCTCTCAGCTATTTTGGTAGTTTATTTTGCAATATCTGCAGCAGATGCCGAGCTTGATTCCATTATAGTCAAGAGGGGGGTGTTGGTTATTTTTCTCAGAACTGATAACTGGTTGGAGCAGTTCAGGACCATGTCTTTTTGTCCCTTTGCTGTTAGACTGGTTGAGCAGAAGCAACCGGGTTAGCCAAGTTCCCATGGCAGGCACTAGGTGTGCAAGTTGCTCCCCACAACTGGTCCCAGAGCAGGGACTTAGATCCTCCCTGTGGTATATCTCCTGGGGTTACACACTATGCATCTTTTTTGCTTTGATTTAGTCCTATGCTGAAAAAAATACCTTGGAGCTGCAATTTATTCTTCATGCAGTCTGATTAATCCAGGTTCCCACCCCATGCCTGTCACTGTGGCACCTCCAACATAATACCAGCTGCCTTGAAAGGGAGGGTTATGGCTGCTAAATAGAAGACGATGCCCTTTTCTTACCTGTGGTGAATTTTTCTACTTCTTTTCTTGCCACTGAATCAAACACTCTGACTTCTTTGATGTAGTCTTGTTGAGACAGGAGCTCTACGATCTTCTCTCCAAGAAAACCACATCCTCCTGTCACCAGGTAGACCCAGGCTCCATCCATTTCTGAAGATGTTTTTGTGGTTGAGGAGTAAAGAGTAGGCTGCTGCTGATCTCTCAGTCAGTATGTTTGCTGAACTAAATCTGAAGTTTAGCTGTTTAATAAGGGTGCTGGCTGAACATTAACTCCATCCAGTTATATATAAACCAGGATTTCGTCAGCACAGTCACGAGTGCTGCCACGGGCATACCAGTGCTGCGCACAGGCCAGTCTCTCTGACTCAGCCCTTCCCTTCTGCCACAGGAACCCATGATCAGCGGGGCACCTCCGGCTTGCCCTGCAACGCGGCCAGTCTCAGTCCAAAATTTTGACGTCAGAAGTTTTCCATATTGGGCATCCCCCTCCCAGGGGCTGGGTTGTCAGTTGTTGTAGCCTGGACCTCTCCGGGTGCTGCACAGAGATGGTGTCTCCTAGAGATGTGCTTGGTATGGAGCTACAGAGCTCGTGTTCCACGCGCTAGTGAATTTGTATAGGTGGTGCATAGCAGCAGAACTACCAGTGCTGAGCTGTAGCATGCACGACAGGCAGGGGCAGGAATGGTCACCTGCAACTTTATGATCGCTGACTCTGCCACTTTGATTGTCCAGGACGGCTCTCCTGAATGAACTCTTTGAGTTGGTACTTGTACACATCCACATCCACACCCGTGTGCGCACACACACTCTTATTTAGGAGGAGAATGTGCTCTCTTAGTTTGAAGAATTCTAGTAGTAAAAGCTCTACCACATTCTTTGGTAGATTGTTACAATGGTTAATTATCATCATCATTAAAAGAGTGCACTGTTGTTCTTTAATCTGCTAGGTAGTGGCTAATATACTTTTCCCTTGCTAGGCTGTGAAGGACGTGTGCCATCCAGTTTGTCATGTGGATAAAAACAAAAGGAAGGGGGGGTGAGAGTGTTGGCTTTGTCCAATGGGCACTGCTGTGTCTCTGCCTCTCATGAAGCATCTCAGGGATAACTAAGGCCTCTTTGGCTATCAATCTCTCCTTGGTGCTAAGCAAATTATTTCCTTAATTCATTCCGCCATAGTCAAATATTTTCTTACCTGCCTTTGTACCAACTTGTCGCTGGTGTTGGTGAACTGTAAACATGCTGTCCTAATAGGAGTAGCAATGATAAACAGGGTAATGTAATCTCCCTGCTCACTTTTTCTGTACAGCGTAGCAGCCGCCTTTCCGGCCGTAGAGTTGTTTGGGAAGCGCAGGATTGGTTTGTTCCCACCCTCAGGGCCTCTGCTTTCCCCATCCCCAATTCCCCATCCCGTGTGCATGGGTTACAGAAGCTGATTCAGGCTGAATGGGGGTACTCCTGGTAACCCTTCCCTGGTCACGTACAACAGGCGGAAACGTGGGGAGCAATTCCAACCGCCTGAATGTCGAGAACAATGCTGTCGGAGCCAGTCTTGCTGTGGCATTAACTCATACGTGTCTCTCAAAAGCAGCGTAGCAACTTGCTGCTCAGCACCTGGTTAATGAAGAGTTAACACAGTGTATTCAGGGTAACTGTGTTTTGTTTTGTGTGTGTATATATGTATTTTTTTAATCAGCTCCTGCTACAAGCTCAATCTGTTCAACTCCACCACTGATACTGCTTGTGCTGCGTTAAGCGTCAGGAAAAGCGCCGTTTCCCCTCGCTGCGATTACAATCAGTGGCCATAATGGCCCAGAGAGCAACATGGGCCTGATGATAATTTGGTGCTTGGCAGACCAGTGCAGCCACAAACATCCCAAGAAATTAATTTAGCCTTTTATCCAGCTACTCCCAATCTGTACAGTAGTGATTAACAGAGCCGCCTTCCCTCAGAGGACTTTTTGCAAGGATAAATATATCAGAGTTGGAGGTGTTAGGACACAAAAAGCAAGATAAATACACCCTGAGAGACCCAGGGAAGGGCTGCATGGGAACGTTTGGCATCAAGTAACCTTGAGCATGTCCTCATTGGTGATGCAAAATGCAGTACTAAGCAGAGGCCTTGATGCTGTGGACTTTTCCCAGTATTTACAAGACTTAACCTTTGCTACGGTATTGATATCTGCGTATCTGCAGGGCGATCTGATGAGTAAGGGAAAAAAAATTGGCTGCAGTTTATATATCTCTTGTTTTTGTTGGGACACAGAAAACAAGTTCAGGAACCAGAACTGTCACATCTCTGACAGAAACAGCTCAGGTCTCTGACAGAAACAGCTCAGGCTCTCTGCTGCAGCCAAGGCTCACGCAGGGTAAAACCCCCTTTTGCAGATAGGTAGTGGTTCTCATGGTAGGGAGGTTAAAAATCCAAAAAGTCAGTCCCTAATCCCATCCTCTTGTCACAGTTGGAATTATCACGTGATGTGGTGACTTCTGGGAGTCTCCATAAACCCAGCAGCAAATTCGGAGAAAGCGCACGTGGGCAACTGTAGCTGCTTCTGGAGGAGGCAGATTCCCAGGAGGTACCAGGGGCTGCAGAGGGGGGCCAGCGAAGCTGTTGCCATCCCAGATTAACCACTTCCCTGAACTGTAAGGGAATTTAAGAGGAAGTGAGGCAAGTGGCAAATAACAAGAAGTTTTAATTTACGCTCTTGAGCACTGCAGCCTTCTCTCTGGCTTGCTGCCCCGTCACGCAGCCTGCTGCAGCCAGCCCGCCCTCAGCATGCCCTCGTGCCGAGGGACAGCTGCGTCCCCACGTCTGTGCAGAGAGAGGAACGGGAGGGTGTCCCTGCAGGAAGAGTCTGCCCTACCCGGGTAGTGCCGCAGCACAAAGCAAGACGCTCACCCTTGGCGTTGCCTGCGGGCTCCCCGAGGGCGCTTTAGGAATTCAGTGCCCCAGCCGGGAGGCAGGACAATGCCCCTCTGCTTGGTCAGTGGGGCTGGGAATGCAGCGTAGCAACTGCGTCCTAGAGACAAACCTCAACCTGCCGAGGTGGCAGTCGTGCGTGCGAAGGTGGTCTGGCAGTAGCTGCAGAAGAGTCCATCCCATCGTGGGCAGGGAAACTGTCAGCCTGGGCTTCAGTTAAGGTAGGCCCCTGTTGCCCCCCAACCCCACAGAAGATGACCAGAAGCAGGGTGATGATGCACAGTCTCATTTTTTAAGAGAACGAGAAAGTTGAGACGGCAGGAAGGACAAAGCCGCTGCCCTAAATTCAGGATGCAGTTTGCTTGAACCTGCTCTACCCTCGTCAACAGAGGCCACCTGACATCACACTCATTTACAGTATGTTTATTTCTCAGTGCATTACATGAAAGGTCTTTGGTATTTGTGGGTTCTTGAATACTGTTCCCACTCTGCTCTGTAAGAAAATGCTGAATACAAAACATTCCATATACAGTAACAAACCCCATAGCAAATAAAGAGAAATAGATATTTTGAACAATAACATAGCGATATGAAAACAGGTAAGTAACCATGCAAGAGGTGGAACAAGCAGGTTGTGTTTACAACAAACATTAGAGCCTGCCATAAATGAGTTCATTGTGCCAGATAAGGCCTGATCTTGCTCTAAGTTAAGGAATTACACGATCGCAACATACCACGTAAGGCTGCCCTATAAAAGACCCAACGGTTGTAAAGCTCATTACAATGAGAGAAGCCGGGACCATCTGCACACATACAAAACACACTGATATAAATAAAAAAATACTGTGTAATATAACTAGTGAAAAAGCTAACATTTCCTTCTGTGGATGGGAATGTGCTTTGTGGACAATTATAGCACCTTTGAATTGCTTGGTTTCAACGCAGTCACAGAAACGGTGGGCAGCGTTATCCCCTATACCACCAAACACCAGAATGGAATGTAATCGTGACTACGACAGAGGCTGTAAACGTGCAGGAGCATGGATTTCCAACAAATTTTATGGAGAAGTAATTCCAGGAGCTGATTGTCTTTTAGAAGCCTTTGTCACAGTGGTCAGGTTCCTACCCTGAAATAGTTCATTGCCGACTGGGATTGAACCCCAGTCCCAGAGCCAAACTCCCAGCAAGCCGCCTGCGAGCCACGCGCTCTGCTCCACTGAAAGCAGCACCGGTCTGTGCAGGCTGAAGATCTGAATTTTATGGCCTTTCCTGGGGAAGTTGATGGCAAATTTCCTGTGGAGTTTGGTGGGAGCAGGTGAGGGCTCTTCTCTCTAGTTTGTTCCTAGTTCCCTGCGTTGCTATCAATTCTTTACAGTAAGTGCAAATTAGATACTCTGGAGAGAAGCGTTCTCCACCTCACAGGAGTACCAGCTTGCTGGTGCACATGACAGTGCATGAATTGCAACGATTTTTGGTTGTGCAATGCACTGCTGCTGCTTCTGGTTAGCTCAAGGCAAGGAAAACGCGTTACTACAAGAACCAATCCAAGTCAAAAACACATTGGAGCTCAGAGAAACATTAAAGGAAAAGAACACACTATGGTATTGCACAGTATGCACATACGATAAAGCACTAAACATTTCAATTAAAATATATTTCTAAATGAGCACGCATTCAAAATAAATCCACTTTCTACGCTACATAGACACGGCAAGATGCATTACATGCCCTGGCTAAAACGACTCTTAGTAGCCTGCCTAAGATGGAAAATGTGGTTGGAGTGGTTTGCTGAGTCATGAATATCATTAACGTCAGCGTGTGGGGCTGTGTTCACCTTTAAAACATAATTAAACTGGGACTGCACAACAGTGTGGTCCAGCCTTTGTGTAAGTAGAGAGGAATGAAACCCCAGCTGAGAGATAAAGTCCATTTGGTATAATCCTACTGTCACCCAAATTAAAGATACAGTACCACATGAGAGAGAGATGTAACTAAATAAAGCAAGAAGTGTGGGGAGTAAAAAACATTACATAGCTCACACAGAAATCTGGAAAAGTCAATAATTAAAATGGTTGCAACCCAAACCTAACCAGCCTTTTGACAATTGACTTGGCAGGATTCATTGCAAACAACTTCCATTAAATTTCCTTTCATCTTGTCAGTAATTTAACTAATTTAAAATTCAAAATCTTAGTCAATATGAATGATGTGAAGAGAGTACTCATCAGGCTAATGCAATAGCTTTGAGCTCAGGAAGGCAAACTTGGAGG